ACACACACACACACACACACACACACACACACACACACACACACACACACAGCTCCAGTATATTTGAAGGAGGTCATCGTTTTTGTAGATCAAAGAATTATGCTTGTACCCATAAGTATCAGGACTTCAAAAAAACAAAACTCGTAAAGATTTTTATTTGAAAAATTCATTTTTAAAAAATATTTAAATTCCCCCCCTGCATTACTGAATTTGGTCTGGCAGCATCACTGGGTCCTCTGGCACTTGGTTTCAAAGCATTTTATACATGTTTTCCTCATTCTTATTTGTGTTCAGACCATCTTGATGAAATTTACCAGTGCCATTATGAGCTCTTTAAATTTGTACTTAATTGCCAGTGATGCCGGCAGTTTATTTTAAACTAACCATAAATAAAAAGAAATAGCAGGTAGCTGCTAATGCATGCTTTGGAAGGGATTAAAATATACAATCCAAACTTTACATTTGAGAGCATACAAACAAGCTTTGCTCATTTCAAACCCTGTGGCTCAACAACAACAAAACAAAAACCTCCAAACCCTTTTCTCCCACCCCCACCAATCTAATTTTTTTCTTTCATCTATGGTCAGATTAGCAAGTCAGCACTGTTGATAAATAAATTAGAGGAGTTGTTTACTTTTATGTACTACTGAGAACAGTGTCGTCTTGTGGCCGTTCTCGTAGACTGTGTTGGTTTAACAAGCGTCCAATCCTTTTGTCTTGTTGTTTTTTGTCTTTCCTGCTCCCTGTCCCCTTGTTCCCACAGGCTGTGCGTTTGTTACATTTTCTACAAGGGCAATGGCACAGAATGCAATCAAAGCCATGCACCAGTCTCAGACCATGGAGGTACAGTACTGTATCATCTGCCCTTTCTTTGTTTTCTTTGTGCAAATGATTGTGAATGGTAAAGCCATGGTCTCCTGAAGAAGATCAGACACGTGACAATCTCACAGATTTAAACTTTCACAAAACTCACTCTACCTCTTTTTGTGACATTTATTTTTCCGAATGATCTTTGAAACACAAGTAAAAAGATCTCTGGGTTGAACCCAAGCATTGCTTTTATAATGCATCCAGTGGCATTCAATAGAAAATAAACATAAATGAATAAATAACACATATCTGGGGACTAAATTATCCTTTATCTTAAACCAAATAATAATAAAGCCTCACTTTATATGGATTTTAAAACATTGCAGTTTGTGCTTCTCTGGGAAAAGGCTCAATAGAGATTTTTAACCTGGCCATGCCAAGTTCCTAGTGCATGTGTTTGGGAATTTGGGGGGGGGGTGCATATGGAATCTCTTTTTAAATTAATATAATTTCTCCTACTTCATGTAGCCAATAAAAATGCTAGTTCTGTCAGAGCACATTGAAGAGCTGGACTAGCTGCAGTGCACTGCCACGCCAGGCTCTGTGCAAGCAGCAATCTTTTATTCCCTAAAAACGGCATCGTGCTTTCTAATAATGAGCCACACGAAGCTTTAACTTTTACTTACCTGGTGCGACTACAGTTTCAGGGTAAGAGCCACTTATCGGCATAGTTATCGCATTGTCACCGCTCATCTGGTGGTCTCAGCTTTTTTAGTCTGTGATTTATGTCACGGTCTTTCCGAATTTGGCACAAAAGGTCTCACAAGAGTACTAAGCCTTTACTTATTCTGGATCTTCTAGTTTAATCATTTGAGAGTGCATGTTATACTGTATTATGTATACCGTATCTTTGTGTACTGATGATTTTCTCGGAGGTGGCATTTTGATGTTATGTGCACTTGTTTCATCTTTTCTTTTCTTTTTTTTTTTAATTATTATTCTTTTTAAACGAGGGCCTTTCAATTTTTTCTCAAGTAAATTTTTCTTTGCAATGCTCTAGTCTCCCAAAGCATGCTGGGTACTAAACAATCATTATTGCGTCATGTCGTTGAGCTGCTTTGTGTAATGAGCGAAGGGAAAGACAGAGGAAAAAAAAGAGACAGTGCATGTCAACTATTGTCTGTACTCTTCCAGTAATGATATTGGCATTGCAAAGCTATTGTCTTTCCAAACATCCCATTTGACTTTGGTTAAGTTTATTTTATAATCAATGTGTTTTCTTTTCAGTGCAATGCATTTTTATAGACCCTGAACATACAGTGTTAGATGAGAATCTTCCACAGAGAAAAATCAGAATTATTGAAATTATCTTCACTAGGAAGCTGCTATTACCTAATATATTTTACTGTGCACTATGACACTATATATGGAATAAAAAGTGACATTTTAGTTCATTGGAATAATGCTTCTTTTTATTTTTCTGCCATGTAGTGCCCCATTAATTTGGGTCGCTATATTTTTGCTACTTTTTGGTTCCACATAAAACAGAAGTGTTGTTAATAATGCTGTGGTTTTGATGTGTATTTTCCATGTGTTCCCATGTATTTTTGGTCTAGGGTAATGAGTCTCACATGAATCACCCTCACGTCAGCGGATGTTGTAAAATGAAATAATCATTAAAGGTCAGATTCTCCCTTTCATATGCTGAGTATTGTACCGTACTTCAAACCAAGCCCCACTGTGATGTACTTCCTTATGTTGAATAGTACCTTATGCCACAGGTAATCCAATTGTTTGAAGTGAGGAAGTGCATCACAATTTAGCCCTATATAAATAACTACTCTCAGAGGGAAGTACTACTCAGCAGCCTTAAAGGTTGGAGAATCTGCACCTATAATTAGGGTACACATAAGATCCCAAACTGACAGGACGGGTCAGAATATCCTGGACCTTAGCATCGTGATGTCAGCTGGGCTCAGGTCTGGAGCAGAACTGATGTGCTTACTCTTTTGTGGGAGGTGGAGCAGTCCTTCCAGCTCACCAATTCATGGCATGGTACCAATAGGAGTCTGCATGTTCTATCTTGCCAGCAGAAGGAAAGGTACACAGGCAGTGCTTCCCATTGAGAAGGGGAGATAAAAAGCAGCTATAAAATAATGAGGTAGGAGATACCCCATACATGCTTGCATAATGGGGGGGTACTTCTCCAGACAGAAAGAAGGAAAGAAGGTATTGTTCTGGTCAACATTCAAAAGCATTTCCTGCCTCTTGGTTATTAATGTCAATGCTATGATGGTAAAAAGTTGACTTTTGAGAGGCGCTATTAAATCTGGACACTCTCTGAAATAATATTGCCCCTGGGCACTTTGATTTCATGTTTTTTTGGCGGGGGGGGGGGGAGATTTTTAAAATGGAAGATTATGTATTATGCAGTCAAGTTTCAATTGAACCACTGAAGTTATTTTTTCTGATTTCATTATTTTCAGTTCTTTGGCACACATCATTGACTAAAACGTATTTTTCAAAGTGACTCAAACTGATGAGAATGTTCATGTTCAGAAGAGCAAGTGTCTCCTGGAAATAATGAATGCTGCTATTGCTCTTTGCCTTTTACTCTCTATCCTGGTTTAAGCAACTTATTTTTAAAGCCATAATCGCTGCCCTCATTTTCTGCTTTTCTACCTCATTTTTGTGTTTGGTTTTTTTTTTAAATCACTCAAATGGAGGGTTAGTAGGAGACACTAATTTGTTAACATGGAATAAGTAGCAACATTTTTCTCATATAGAGCCATTTTGCTACGTATAATTTCAATATTCAGAATGTTTGCTCCTTTGAAAATGATGAAATAAGAGCAGAAAGTGGAAAAAATATTATAGACTCCTAAATTGCAGAGAGATTGTTTGTATACAATTTACTGACATTTCAGCATTCATATATATGATATCAGCTGTTGTATTGAGTATTGAGCTGCTGGGCTGAGTACTAGAACAGCCATATACTATTTCTTTGTTTTGAAATTCATTTATATTCCCTTTGAAATAGACCTAAGAGTTTCACGTATGTACATGTATGTAGCAAGCAGTAAACTATCCCCATACTTAGCCTAATACCACCAAAGCCAATCTGAAATGGGATACAAGCTTGCTATTACCTTTTTCATTAGCTAAACTGGAAAAATATTTCATTTTTTTTTTAAATAAGAGCTTGATTTTAATATTAGTATAAAATCACCGAGAAGAGACAATTGTATACCAAGCGGACGCCTCCATAATCTTTATTCAATTGCTGAAGTGTGTATCTCAGTTTTTATTCACTGAAAAATTGAAAGACATTTTTACAATGAAATATACAAGCAAGGTGCTGGGGGTGGAATAATACATCTCAAGTGATCATTTTCTAAGATGGTAATTCTAAAGGAATGGTATTGATGGGAGGTCTTCACACAAAAGATATTATTACCGTGGCTTATTTCATCATTTTGTCTGTTGATTGTGAATGTTCCTATCATTGTCCTATTGTGAGGTTTCTCGGAGAGAAAAGATACGGCTACTCTTTGCAGAAATAGAGAAGAGGAACTTTTCTGAAGAAGCTCACAGTGTAGTGAGAGTAGCCATGGGATGAGTTTGGTTAGATATAAACCACCATTTCACGCTGTAAACTGTGTCTAAAATCCTGCTGTATTTCTGGATCTGAGGCACCCAAGAGTCGAAGGGTAGAAGAGAAATCGGCATGACAGTGGGTAGGGAATGGAGGGGGACTCAGACACTACGACGAAGGGCAGCAGGATAAAACTCAAAGACAGATGGTTTCTACAAATCATGAAATGTCCTAATCCATTTGCCAAAAGTAAACTGGAATCATTATGATGCTACATTGTTCTGTAGATTTAAAACAAAAAATCTTGAGGTTTATATCTGAAAGCAAACAGTTTTCATTAGATAAAAATAGAGGATCTGTTTTCATTCATGTGGCACTGTTTATGTCCATCAGTGTCTTTGGCTATTACTTGAAAACAGACAGAAAAGAAAGAGACAAGTCCATCTTTAAAACACATGAACCGTGAAGCTTAATTAAAGAGCATTGATAAATTCTGTTGTCTCTCCAGGGGCACTCAGATAGTTAAACATCCACAAAGATCTGGAAGGAAAGGAGTTCAGTGAAAAGAGAGAGGAAATTAATAATTTTTCAAGAGCCACATTTTAAAAATAGTTGAATAATAATTAATAAACATAATTTCAGAAATAATTTCCGGTTATTTCAAATGGATTTAAAGGTGGTAAGAAGACGTCAAGGTAGAATCATGTAAATGTGTGTGATGTTAACGAATTTCTTTTCCAATCTGTCCAATCATAGGGCTGCTCTTCGCCTATAGTGGTGAAGTTTGCTGATACCCAAAAGGATAAGGAGCAGAGGCGCTTACAACAGCAGTTGGCACAACAGATGCAACAGCTCAACACTGCCACTTGGGGGAACCTCACAGGCCTTGGAGGACTCACACCACAGTACCTAGCTGTAAGTTCTTGTGAAATGTAGTGACCACGAGATGCATCTGAAGAAGTGGGTTTTTTAACCCACGAAAGCTTATGCCCAAATAAATCTGTTAGTCTTTAAGGTGCCACCAGACTCCTCGTTGTTTTAGTGACCACATATTTAGACTTAAACTGATTTATTTTAGCACACTGGAAGCTAATTATAGTGAACCATGATAAAATGGAATTCCCTACATTTTAACTTAGGGGCAGATAATGTGACTTATTCCTGAAAGCACCACGTAAATTTATGGCACTATATAAAACATTTTGTAATAATAACAGCGATTTAGAATGAAAGTCTCAAGTTATTTCAGTGCCTTGCAGTCTTCTGAAGATTTAAATTCTATTTCAGCTGGAAAATACATCTTCATTCTGATGTTTCTGCCGAACATTAAATTCTGCTTTTTTAAAAATGTGAATACATTTTTTGGATGCTTTCTCTTATCAAAGTAAAATCTTCAGCTTTCAGAGATCAGGTAGACATCTGAAAACCTTCTTCAATTGTGTTTGTGAATGGTCTTTTGAATCCACAATGTTTGAATTTAATTCTACTCGGCATATCAGTTTCCCATGGAAATATTCCCTGTGCTCATTCAAGTTAATCTTTTAATATATTTGAAAATGGCTATCACAGTAACTAGTGAAAGTCTGTAAATTAAATGCTCTTTTATTGGTACTAAATGTGCAAGGTTCATATTACTTTATAGAAGGTAGATTTGATGAGCGTTTGGGCATTTTTAAAATGACATTTTCTTTGACTCTTTGAAAGCTAGGAGAGAAAAATGAGCTCGCTACCTGGCATTGTACAGCTGCCCTCTACTGCGGGGAATCTGGAACAGCTTGAGTGTGTCATAAATCATAGGCAGATGACAGAGATTCTCTTATTGTTCAAGTGGTCAGGGGTCTCTGCCTTTTGCCGTTGTGAATGGTCACGCTATATGGCGTATTGACAACTGGGACGTTCCCACGTGCTCAGAGATTTGTTTCTCTGTAGCTGCCGATTGCATAAATCAATTGTGTGTATATGTGGGGTGGGGTGGTTATAAATCTGCATAGACATTCATTTAGCTGGCAGTCTTTTAAAAAAAATACCCAGTATATCAAGGGTTAATAGTGAATCTTGACTGTTATATCAGCGAAGTGCCAGCCTATGAACTAATGAATATCTGTGCACTTGATGTACCTTGTTCTAAGGATGATAAAGAAAGAAACTGAATTTAAGGGGCTGGGTGAGAATGGACCATGATTGACAGAGATGAGTTATGGTAACTACTAGACTGCAGAGGGTTATAATTAGTCACGCTATGTTGGTTTAAATAGATTCAACACCTGGTTGTTAAAAAGAGTAAATTGATTAATTGTTTTAAAGCAGCGATGTTATTGAGTTTCCCCAGTGTCTGTGTGTTTCTTAATAGAGATTAGACATTAATATGGATTTACAGCATCAACTCTGGGGATGTTCATTCCAACAATAGGCAGAAGCAAGAGACAATATAAAAGTAAAGGAAACTATAAGTACTCCAACTTTAATTTGATGGATAATTTTGTTTTAATCTTGTTGCTTTTTTGTAACATCACTTAGATGACAATGATCGTCTTATTATTAATTTGCAGCTTCTGCAGCAAGCAACTTCCTCCAGTAACTTGGGTGCCTTCAGCGGCATTCAGCAAATGGCTGGTGAGTTAAAAATTATTTCATTTTGTCCAATTATATTTTATTTTCTTCGGCTCTTAAATTCTGTTTTCTGTAATGATCACATGATGTTAGTCTTTGTATATAAAATGTGTTGTGTGTATGAGCAGGGGGCAACTCATGATTCAGATTCAGTCCGTCTTTCAGAAACTGAAATTAAACTAACCGCTCCTCGGTTGTACAAACAGTTTGTCTTGCATTAGTCACCTGCCATTTGTCCAGAGTAACCAATTGTAAATTGCAGGAGAGCTCTTAGTTCCTGCAGCTATATCCTACCTACTAAAAGTAGCAATAAAGCAACAGCAGGATTACATTTTAATTTCCAGTGAGATTTCTGTGGCCTGAAAATCAAATTAATGGCAGCCCTCAAACATTTTAATAATAGGTGACAAATAAAAATGTTCTGACCTTCTTAATGAAACCCAAGATTACAGGCCTACCATTGATACAAGCTTGCAGTCTTCTTTTTATAATCATGGGAAATTAACTGGGTGCCTTTTTGACTTCAGAACCCTAGTTGACAAAATTACACAACAGAAGCTTTTATGTAAAAGTATAATCTTTGTTCTGAAGGAAAAAAGAGAGAGAGAAAGAAAATCAAAGTGTAAGCATATTTGAAAGCCAGCTAGTTGGAGGATTTCTTGGTAATGAGCTGTGTGCCAGTAGTAAGTGATGTGTAGTGATTAGTAAAAGGTCTCTCCCACTGTGTGACCTGCCATGCTGATACCCTAACTTAACATGATGCTAGAGAAGGCAGCATGTGCAGTAAATCAGACCACAGATGCACATTATGCCTGCCGTGAGGAACTGTTAAAAAGCCTTTTTTCCTTGCTTGATTTAAAAAAAAAAAGGGGGGTATGCTAGTTTATTTTAATCATGAACTCGGTGAATCAATGAAATGTAGCATTGGACTTGCTTTGCCATCACAAAACAATGGCTGAAATATTCATGTGTCTTTAGGAACGTTTTTAATACTTTTTTTTTTAATCCAAGCTTCTTCTGGCTTCCCTTTGAATGAATCTTGAAATACTTTTAACAAGTATAGATATACCACATGATATAGCCATACCCCATAGGTATTCTCTGCTCAATCGTTACATTATGCCATTATTGCAATGGCATCAGAGACTAACGTGAATCTGCTGTCTGACAATATAAATTGGCCTACAGATGACAATATCCCTGAATTATTTTCTCTTCCTCAGACCTGCTGGCAGTGCTTGCTGTTTCTATTATGTTACACTTATGATCTAGCATTTTTCTCATCAAAAAATATATCTTAATATGATAAACAGAGCAGAGTCATTCAGCAACATTTTCACAGTTGGCATTTTTGGAGCTGGCTTTGAGCTCAAGGATTGTGTTTAATGTTTCATATTTGGTTAGCTCTACAGAATGAAAAAATTGAGAGACCCAAGGGGGGAAAAATACTCAGGGAGATTTTTCTGTATAGCATACTCTACTGTACTTGTATCCAAGTAGGTTCCCATTGTCTGTTCACAGTTATTGTAGGTTTAGTTTTACCTCCAATAACTGAACCATACCTGGACTGAAATTAGGGATTTTCCTCACATTAACCCTAGGGTGCCCCTCAATCCAATATATGAATCAGTTATGCATAGTAGGCCATTTAGTCCAAGGAAATTATCTTCTGGGGTCATAGTGGCATGTCATGTTTACTAGAACAATGTACTTCCTCAGCCAAAGACTAGATTTCTAATGGATCCATATACTGGATAATAATTTAAGAACTGTATGTGCCTCCTGGAATGTTTTAACAAGGTGGTTTTCTTACGTGCATATTAACAGAACTTAATGCTTTTCTGGGTTTACCTTTTCTTCTCCAGAAATGCAGGGCTCTTAAATCTCAATGTCCAAGGTCAAATTTCACAATGTTAAATTTCTCTCCACGCTACAACTCAACACGAAAGGGCAAAAGTCTTAGCACAATTGTATCGTTAAGTTTTTAAAAGTTCAAAAGTTGTATATTTTTCCCAAATTTCAGGTTTCTCCTGTAGCATTAACCAATTTACATTGCACATCCACTACATTTGATGGTATACTTTAATAATAAAGAGTAATTTATTAAGGTTTACAAGAGACAGAGGAATAAAAAATTCTAAGTGTGTGCAACATGAATGGGTTAATATTGCTGGAGCATTGATCTCAGAACCTTCATGTAGCATAAGAGCTAGATTTGTTCCTTTTTTCAAAATGTATTTTTAATTACATCCTATCCACACATCTTACACATATAAATATAATAATATTCATTTCCAGCTGATATGGAGCTTGTGTATTAATACTGGACTAGTTTTTCTTAAAGAGGAAGAAAATCTAGAAGCAGTCAGCTAAGATACGAGACAAGCTCCATGGTTAGACCTTGCAAGTTTTTTGAGTGAAAAAATGTTCATTTAGAATCAGATCTTTTGCCCCCCTCCTTGTGTTGATTTGAGTGGGAAGAGTAAGGTACTACTCAACGTGAGCAATGATGGCCAAATCGGATCTTAAATTTACCTGTACATGTATGTAGCACCCAAAAGTATTTTAATTAGCTCAGTCCTGCACCTTTAAAGTCAATGGCTGTTTTCTCTTTGGCTTCATTGAATCTAAAGCCCATTGAAATCAATGGACGTCTTTCCATTAATTTAAGTAGACTTTAGATTGGGCACCTAATTCTGCAGAGGATTTAAGTATGTGTCTAAAGCCCATTAAAGTAGGAAAACACTTAATATCACAAGAGTCGTCAATATCCCTTTTGCTGTTTTAATAGCAGTCTTGATTACAGGAGCTATCATTGTCTTGCCAAACTCTGCTTTATTGTTCTTACATAACACATGCACATACTTACGTCACTACTCTCGGTCATACTGTAGTCTTTTTTCCACTGACTACTGTAATGCTTAATAATTTAAAGGCATTGCTTTTACTTATATGCATAATATTAGGCTGCAGTGTATGGATTGTACTTTCTCATTGTTTGTGGGGAATGTCGGTAATACGGGTGAAGTAGATCACATGATTTGATTGTCTAATAAAACAATACAAGCTACAGTTAATGGCGGTTCAAGCCAGAGAGTTCCCCTCTTCAAATGTATTCAAGTTGCATTGACAGCCTGATGCAAAGCTCAGTGAATCACTTGGATCTTTCCATTAACTTCAGTAGGCTTTGGATCGGACATTAAACAACTGATTTACATTAGGTGAGCTAAGTTAACCTACTAGTTTTAAAAGTACATTGAAGATGTGACATAAGATTTTACATAGGGTGACCAGATAGCAAGTGTGAAAAATCGGGACAGGGGGTGGAGGGTAATTGGCACCTATATAAGAAAAAGCCCCAAATATCGGGACTGTCCCTATAAAATCGGGACATCTGATCACCCTAATTTTACATTATGTGACAGAATGCCAGGGGATTATAACTCAGAAGAGATGTCAAAAAATATTTTTCTTTTTCCCCGTGAAGGTTTTCCATTATCAATACAATTAGTTTCAAATCTTTTGTTATAAATGTAAATAGATATATGCATATAGATAGGTATGTATACACATGCATATGCAAAATACACACGCACGCACACAAAAGGGGTTATATTGATTCAGTTGGATATGTGAAAACAAAAAATAGGTTGAAATAGGAAAAAGTGATCCCTACGTTTGCATTTATCTTCTTTGGATTTCAGATTGATAAATGCCATACAGCTGGGCCTTTTTCTATTTTCTAACGTATGTTCCTAATCCTTTTGAAATTCTCTCATGGTTCGATTTGAGATTTGGGCTGAGCTTCTGACTGGTTCTGATTTTGCTTCAGTTAGGTTCACCCTTTCCCTTTTACCTGAGCTAGGTTTCCTCTGAATCCGTGGGAGCAGATGGGTGAGAGAAATTCCACACAGTTCTGCTTCCTGAGTATTTCCCTTAATCACGCCATTGGCTCGGAGGATCTTGGGGGAATGTGTAGAAGCCAGGACTTTCTGCATAGAGGCGCTGTGCTTTTGCATCGGCTCTAAGGTCCTTTACCGCGGCTCACTCCTTCGTAGCTTTTTTCCACTGGAAGAATACTGGAAGGGCTTCTCCTGCTGGGCATTGCCCGTAGGGCCTCTTTAAAGGGGTGTCCTGTTCAAAGTGAGAATCTCTGTCGACTCCAGGAATAGTGCCATGCCATGGCTGCTTCTTACATACGCACAACTGAAAATGTTGGGCTAAGTGACTAAAAGCAATGAGATCAAACAACTGCGCTTCCCCTGAAGATGCCATTTAATCAAAGCCAATCAGTCCACATTTTCTAGGTTTCACAATGAAGCTTTAGTTGACTTTTTGGAGTGTACACCATTGAAGGGAAAGGGTTTGTTCTCTAGTTAGAGTACACACAAACTCTTGCAAACAGGAGTGGCACGAACACATTGAGGAGACCACCAACCCTCCGTAGCCTGGGAGATTTGAGAATACAAAATGGACTCTTTGAGTTAGGTTGAGTCTGAAGGAAGGAACTGCAAGTCTGCCTGAGCCTGACTGCAAAAGACCTGGAAGAGGCTCCTTATTCCCGCTCCCATATTGGGCACTCCCATAAAGACCAGGCAGAATGCAGCAGGAAAGCTTTGACTCATCAAACCACTAAATCATGTGCTTAATGTCATTTCTATTCAGGAAAACACGTAAGCACATGCTTAACTTTAACTTTACAGCACGTATTGAAATCCCATTGAGGTCAATGGGAAGTTACTGAATTCAGTGGGACTTAAGGATGTGCTTCAGTGCTGTGCTAAATAGGGATGAATTTAATATGTGCTTAAAGTTAAGCATGTGCTTAAGTGCTTTGCTGAATCAGGGTCTCAGTGATTAGAAAAAAGTTAAGTACTAAGTATTAAATAAACAGCTGTTCTAAAGATGGATTCTAAATATATGTGATTTGATAGAGCTGGAAATCGGAATTTTCTATTCTATCCATCTTGCCTGGTGCTTGTAATTTCAAGAGCGCTATTCTG